ATGAAGAACGATGAGATAACAGCGACTCGATAAGCGTGGCGATTGACGGAGTTGGCCTACATTATCATCGGCAGAAATCATACATTATCTACATTATCATCGAGTTTCCAGAAAAGAAATGAAACTTCGCAAAATCACGATGCTCGATCGATCACGGAATGATTCGTAATTATTCGCGCGAACACGCGCGAGATAAGTAAGTTGTATCGCTTGAACTCCGTTTCAGAAAATGCATGACGTCGCAAGGCCGCGTTACATTTTACCAATTCTGCGGCTTAAGAAAGTCCTTGGTCCTTTACGAGCGAGGGAGCCTTGAGTTAAACGGATGCAGATCGAAACCGTCGCAGAGAAACCCGCGGTAACGTTTGGATTTCTTTTCACCGCGCGATTATTTCGCGCGGGCAAACAAATCCCACGCGACGAAGTGGAGGAACAAAGGGAAACGTTGAAAAATCTATTGAAAATTTTCCATTGCCACGACTGAACCGAGAGATAAGTGTCACGAGCTTTCGATTTTTGCTTCGCTCAGAGGCGACAACACCGTGTCGTTGCATTACAATTCTTAACGGCGCGGGAGTAAATTATGTGTACGATGGCCTCCAGGTTATCGAGAAGCATTATTGTCCCATCTTCGCTATTTATTGCGACAAGGAAGCAACGTGCACGTCTGCAACGCGACGCGACTTATTTCTGTTCTTATCTGCATGATTGTTAATAATAACGTGTGGCTATTGGCGCCCGTCACTGAACGATAATACACCAGCTGATCGTCGGCGGGGTCGATGGGAAAATTTGCAGCTTGCAATAACATGTTTGTCATCGCGGCATGTCGGTATTGGCGCCTAGTTTAGCAACCGGATTCATTTCTGCGCGATTTCGACCGTGTACGTAGGAGAGAGTTGGCTAACGCATACCGATCGACTATATCGCGCTTCTCCGGTTTCTTTAAAATTTAAATATAGAAAACGTTTGCAATTCCTTTATCGTTACCGAATACACGCTCGATCTCGCGATGATCACATATACGAAACAATTGAGCAATGCGAAGCACTGGCAAAAAATTGACGGATGATATTTTGTTCTGTGCATGCGGTGCACAGTTTGAGCGATCAGAAATGAATGATGCAATTTTATTTTACATGTTTTATATTCTGTAAAATTCTATCAAAATCAAGGACTCTTTCGCGTCGCAGGCTGGTTGATCTGATCTTGTTGATCAAGGTATTCAAAGATGGAGAATAGGAAGACTCGATTAGAAGCTAAAGGCCTATTGGTATCGTAAATTCTATTTCGAACTCCTGGCTGAGCACGATGCAGTTTCTCACAGTCTCGTTACCGGAAGGCATCCTTGTTCGATCCGTGACCAGATCGTTTAGAAACAGTCTCCGTTCTCTACCGACGCCAGATCGTCTGCAATCTTTCCATACCCTTATCTAGTTTAAACAGTGTCATTTGAGACTTGATAACTATGTGACTGCAAATCGCTAACCATCCCCTGGCGTCCACCCACACGAATGGCTCTATTCAATCCTTGACCCAGTCGCAACCATTCGGAAAGAGAAATAGCGTCGGGGTATATGTCTTCCAAGCACTATCAAAATACGCCAACAGACATCAGAGGGATTAGTCTCGGAATAGAACACGTATTTGCTCTCCAAAGAAATTTACAAAATATTCCCTGGTGTACGACGTATTCTGTTTCGTTAAGATTTCTCAACGATGTATACACGTTGGAAAGAGTGGTTTGAAATGTAACAACGAAACAGGATCAGGTTCTCTGTCCTTGGTAATTGTAAAAGCTTGGTGTCCATTGTGCAACGCGTTTAATGTTGATTTAAAGACATGACCCACGTCATGTTCGTGGGTTGAAAAAGAACACTTTAGCTGGATGCGTAGATCCCTGGGCGTTATCAAACGAAGCAAAGGCATTCAGCTTGCTCCTATTCACGCGTATTTCTTTTACCGACGGTTAGCTGGCCAAGCTTATTTCATTTTCATTATTCTCTTCTCTGTTCGCAAATATTTATGCGTATTATGTATCGCGCCCGTGTCACGCTTTTGTGCTATTTCTAGTTGAACAAACGCAACGTTATCGCGTTGCATTTGTAGCGGTAGCTCGTCTCTGTCGGTTCTGCCTGTTACCGATGCCAACGTCATGTTCTCCTTTGAAGCGTTCGTGTGCAAGTTTTAGATTGTAACACGAAAGATCTTGTACCGGCTCCCTTGCGATCAGGCACCGACTTGTGTGCTTCTTCCTCGACGAGTTTATTCGGCGAAAACCGGAAACGATTAGCGGTGGGAATGTAAATCCGTGCGCGCGGAGGTTGAAAGTTGCTATCTTTGGAATGTATGCAGAAAATACAGGCTGATGTAAGAAGGAGGTTGCAGAATTTAGATACGGTGGATTCCGGAGGAATCGATGTGCAGTTAATTTTAGTTGAAACAATCTGAAACGCGAAGCTTGAGAGTGCATCCTTTACTTCCTCTTCTAAAGAAAAGAACAAATGGTATGCTGGAATTATGGAGCGTAAAGAAGATTCTCTTTATCCGGCCGCAAGGTCCTCGACGAATCTGTATCGACTTATGCGTCACAAGCTTACGATACGCTAATCTTAATGTCTCTGCGTACGAGAGTATTTCCATTTATAGCGAACGTACTAATAGGCGCTAATTTCGAACGACAGTCTAACCCGGCTAATAATAAAACTGCTGGTACTTTAAATTATGAGAATACGTAAACAAGTCCCAAGAATCTCACGTTGGATGAGGTGGAAACATTGTTGGCGCAAACAAGCACAATGCTTGGCATAGAGCGCTAAGCATAGTAGAGATTCTAGAAAATCGCCGCGGATTTCCACGAATTACCAACGAGCAGTTGCTCAGGTGCAATCGCAATGTATCCATTTAATCTGTATACAACATCTGACTCACAAACACCGCGTCATCTTATCTTCCGCGTCTTTCGGGATATCTACTCATTAAAGATTGCTCTATGCTATCGTTCCCTCTGTTACAATCATAAATCATCCAAGATAATTATGCACATTTCCCCGAGCCAGAATACCGGGGCACTTTTACATCGTTCAACAACCAAACTCTACTCTCGAAACTTGGTAGACGTAGCGATTCCTACGAAGCGTCGAGGATCCGTTGGATAATCGCCCGACATTGAGACCTTTCGCGATGTCACGCGTGAAGAACGTGTACGTGTCCAATCGACATACGCGTCTGTACTTATAAGTATGCCAGTCTACCCTGTTATTTTCGGCGTAATAGCGACGCAGGTCGTCGCAGAGCGCGGCGCCTACGGCGTCGTGACGCGCCGTCTCGACACCCACGTGAACATTTTTGAAGGCGCATACTGTCACGATCGCTGCCAAATTGTTCAGTTCATCGGCAGCTGGGCCTGGGACAACAAGAGACCTATCGCAGGGGCAACGGATGCGTTTGCGTGGGCGTAGCGATTGTGCAGCGCTGCAAGGCCGAGTTACGTTTAGAATAGACAACCAACGTGCTCGATCGTCGACCAGTACTTTTTCGTCCTGACTCTAATCCTTGCACGACCACGCCATTCTAGTCGACGTAAAGTGTCGCGACGATAAAAATTTCTTCATTTGACGCGACATAGGCGTATTCTTAGATATATTCGAAAATACTTTGTTCCGGAATACAGAGTGTATCGGTTCGGTACCAACGACGCGGGGAATTCGATGCGACGTTCAATTTTCGCGCCAAGAGCGCAGGACGTCCTTAGAGAAGAAGCCAGGGTGACCACGTTAACGAGGGTGTTCGAATTAAATATCGCCTCGTGATTAGATTACACGCCAGATGAAGGGAGCGACGTAATTGGGACGAAGAAACACCGATTCCTTTCGATTTCGTCTTGTAAATTAAAAGAAAAAGTAACGAAGATGTGTAACGATTTATAAGTATAAGAAATAGAATTATAAGCATCGAAATAGAGGCTTAACCGAGTATAGAGAGTCGCATGTTTCGCGGATATAAACACGAGGATACGATAAAATCCCATAATCCTACGACGGTGGAAAGATATTACAGATTGCGATCGTCGACAATGACCCTGTTGTCTCGATGGAGTAAAATTATATAATCGATGACGTAGAATCCTGTATTTTTGGTTGCTACGTGGTACGAGACAATAATAGACTGTATTCCTTGATAAGCTAATAAGTAATAACGATACGTGCTGCTGTGACGCGTATTAGCCTGTACTCTTGACGCACGTTGCTTGCTTGGGCAGCTGTACGCGCAATTTTCCTGGATCGAATAGTTTACACGTTAATTTACACTGACCTATCCTAACTCTAACTCCACCCATGAATAGGGCGAATGACGCAGATGCAGGGATAGGCAACTGTTTATCTAAACGATCCTCCTACACCCTTCCATGGTTGCGAAAATCGCTACAATTTTACGTCTGCCATGCTGTCCTATTTGCAATCGAACGGAAGACATTCAATTTCAGCGACTCGACTCGCGGATCTATCATTTCTTCGACTGACGTGTCAAAGTTGTACGCGTCAATCAGTACCGCCTACGAGGTACGCACGCGTGAACCAGGTATGAACGAAAGGGACACCTCAATGGAAATTCGTACGGCCAGACATGCCACGCACGTCGAGATTCATAAATATGAACGTCTGTAGTTAATTCAAATTTACACATCGACGACGCAATCGATAACTATTGCAGCACGTGCAATCTAAACGAAGAGAGTATGTGCTGCGAAATATGTTTTGAATCTCGTAATCTTACATCTTCAAGAAAATAAAAAAAAAAAAATTGACAACGTCCATTCGTACAGAGCTCGATTTCGTTTGATTGATACGCGTACCCATTTTACACATTTGTAAAGTTGATCAATCGTTGAGACGTGCGCAGTTGGCGTGGACAATTATGTCCGCTTCGCATTACGTTCCCCAATTGGATTCGCGCGTACGCGAGAAGTTGGCATCTGACACTTCGAATTGTTGGTAATATCTTCATAATTGATTCACGATTCTAATCGCGTACAGCAAATAACTTCGATGCCACGATCGTTTCTAGACTAGTAGATCCGATCATTGAGTCATACATGGAAATATCGATCGGGTGATCGTAATACGCGTCCGACATGCATTCAACAAACATTTGAACAGAATCCATGTTGGCGTTTGAAGATTGAAATTTCGATGATCAAGTTTCTACTGCTTAAACTATTCAACAATTGCACAACTGTGATATAACAAACGTATTATTGTTGTTATTATTATATAACAGAAGAGCAAACATAATTCTGTAGGCGCCTCGCTCGAACAGCAGACTATAAATCTGTAATGAATACTCAGATGTTGGCATTTAATGTTCGAACAATGTTCTTACACTATATTGCGGCGCAAAACTATTGTCTCGGTCATCGATTGAGACGTAAATAGTCGATATCCTCTTCGTCTCTGCAATGACAAATTTCTTCGCATCACGCACGCGGCACGCTGCGCTTCGCGATCGCGCGTAAATTGGTCCCTGAAGATTAGCACGGTCGCCGGTTGTGAACAGTTTGGCACGATTCAGACGCGATAAATAGTTAACGGCGAGCCATGCTTATTGCCAAATATCACAGTGCTCGTGCGCAGGCGTGCATGCATTTTTAAATAAATTATCTTGGCCAGCGGCGTCTCGATAATCTCGTTAGCGACGATGTACTTTGTAACGCGTGAGTTTCCTTCGATTCCAAACCCGTGTCAATGTTCGATTCGAAAAATTTCTTCCTCCTACAACGCGTTCATTTTTGTCGACCTTGCGGACGAAAGGTTTAGAAACTTGAATAGGAGTTTGAACTTTGTGCCGCAAAGAGTTAAGCGATAGGAAGACACGTGGCACTCGCAGAATTGCTCAAGTATCATCGGGCTTTGATCGTGATAGCAGAAAGTTCGGACGGGCTGATAATCGGATCAGACGGTTCGTCAACGAAGCGACCAAGAGGCAACATAATCGGGCGAGGTTGTATCGACCTTGGTACGAGATCTTGTTGATTCTCAGCAAGGACGATATCATCTGGCTGGAAATTCTCCGTTGCCGTCTACCGCGGCCTATTCGCTCTTTTCAAGGGAAACCAGTCTTAGCCGGGCTTCTGCATCGGTTTTCTGCCCTCCGCACAGATGTCGGTGTAAGGTTCTGCCATCAACCGGTTACCGACCACTCGACCAGTTATGCAGCAGTTTAAAACTCTGAGATCGCAGCACGAGCCAGCGTTTTGTTTGCGAGGTATCTTGCAACCGGTTTCGTTATGAATGTCGCATCAGGAAGCACGCGTCCACGGTGATCCTTAGATAATTTACAGAGAATAGAATGCCATCGGTTCGAATCAATTGAACCACTTTTGATACACGAACCAACCATCATCCATCGACGCCGAGTCGATCAGGATGAAAATCGACCATCGCTCTCGCTTACATATTCCTCTCCATAGAGTACACTACGTACGTTATTTAATTATTCAATGTTTCGGTTATCTTCAGGAATATAATCACGTGTATTATTATATAAAGATTTCCATTCTTATCCTTATATTAATTTTTCATCATCGATATCATACTTTACCTTAAAGTTAAGAATGAGAATCTTTATATATTAATACACGTGTATACATATATTCCTGGAAAAGGTCACGAAATATGTTCATACGTTTTCATTTTACTCTAGAACTCTAATGACATTGAATTGTACCGATAGACGCCACGTGGACAAGATTCCAGATTAACCAATCGAATCTGTACATGTTCTTCTCGTATTTCAAAGAAACCTCTTCGATTCCCCGTACTGTCACGCCTTGCAGGTAGATTACATTGCCTCGCGAACATAAACACCGAATTCCCAGTAAGCAAAGATCGCAATGTACACTCCACGCAAATATTTGACTTAACGGAGCGGCTTTTGATTACATCCCTTTCTTTGTCGAACGATAGATTCCGTTTGTTGCGAAAGATGACTACACCTTCAATTTTATCGTTCAATTCTGTAACCGTCGATACAATCCGTTCCTAGTCGATGCGCCGGCGCGTCGAGCTTAAGTTTGCTAGACGACTTTTGACGAATCATCCATTGCGTTTGCCAAAATTCCACACCGATCTAGGCTAAACATATCCTTCAAATTTCGATCGGTTTCTATCTCTGTTTCATTGACAATTTTAATCATGTTGCATCTATAATTTAAGTAATAAACGATCTATGACGTAATATTGCGTTAGCGGTATCTCGCGAGGTGGTTTCTAGAACGAATTGCAAAGAACGGTACGCTTGTTCAACTGCGATGTTGTAACGGTTCCGAGTACATTTTCTTACAATTTTTATTTAAATACGCAGAACGGAGTTTTCCTGAATGAGAGCACCAGCCTGGCCTCCCCTCCGATCACCTTTCTACCGTATCTACGTCGTACTCAAATGACACTGAAAGCGCGGATGCAGAGAGCTCCGACCGACCGAAATCAATACCACGTTGGCCTACTACGCCGTGGCCTTCTTTTCATCTAAATCTGTTTGCCATGGAAGACAATAAAGGACAACTAAAACGGTCATCTGTACTAATTTCGTTCAAGATTTCACCGAGTCTCGTCATTGAAATTCTCGTTTAACTCGATTTAGGATAGCTATAACAATTGTTTATCTTTTTCCACTCTTCTACGTATCAAAAACAAATCAGATTATATCGTAAATTATTCGAGAATATCCAGCGACAAACTACAGTGTTAAACGTTGCTTACGCCAACGGTATTTGAATAAATTTTTAATATCGTGACTAAGCGAATACTTGCTAAGTCTAGACTTATGTGACTAATCTCTGCCTCTAAATGCTGATCATTCGTCGATTGCACGATTCGCGTTGCCGAGGATTGAGTAATTTAAAGATAAGAATGTTACGATGCAGGGATAAGCAGATCGAAAGCTTCCAATCATTAACGTAAGGTTTCTTTGGAGAAGCTCAGTCGAGAGCTTACAGAAGATCTAACAGAAGTGATGAAGCGTACGAATCGAAACTTTCCAATGGACAAACCACGAGTAATATTAACGACGATTACTCTTTGAAATTTTGAAACGAATTAGCGACAAGGAATTATATATTACGATCCAAATTAAAATTCTTATCGTTCCTTCGAATGAATCTGACCGTGTACTGCTTTGAACGTAGTGTTGTTAATCAAGGAATGCTTCGGGAAGGTTAAGGAAGTAAATACATGGAAATAACACGACTACGAGCGGTTATTATCCTTTCCCGCGCCATCGATCTTGGTCAAAGAGTCGCATGGCTAGGAACGACGCAACAGCAGGACCGTCGTCGCGACGTCCTGGCGCCCGCGACAATGTCGTCGAACCGTTTTATGTAATCCAATTAACGTCAACGATTAGTGTTATCCTTGAAAAATTAATTTCATCCGTAAACAAAATGCGACACTAGTTCAAATATTGATTTTGTTTCGCAAGCCGATAAATGTCCCTGAGAATTAGGATCGCTTTACCTCTATCTTCTCCCACCTTTGTTTTACCTCGTGTTATCAGGTCTGTAATTAATTACCCAACAACCCTTTATTTGTTACGTTCAAACAGAGAAAGACTGTTTCATTAACTTTATAGTGGATATTTCAAGTGACCTCTTTCCAGATGTCGTGGAAAGATATGTGAAAAGTATTCGTCGATAATCGAGAATGGGAACATTTTTTCATGAATATTTAATAACATTCGATCGTCCAAAGATGTCGAAGAGATAGTATATAACCCAGCCAGTTTAAAACGTGGATAATAATAAGTTTTCATTGCCCCTAGAATTGTAAACAATTTTACACGAAGGATGCGACTGATCTTGGTGAAAGATCGTGTTCTGAAGTTTAGAAAATTGTAAAGAAATCGCGAAAATAATAACTGTTCATGTTATCAAAATAATTCAGTTATTCAAATATTTAATGAGAATCTATTTGAATAAAAATAAAGCGGTTCGTAGATTGTTTGTACGCTCCTGAACCTAGCATTAATGCAAGGTGCAATTTTCATTCATTTTCAGAATAATTCCATGGTTATTGCTTACAATTTGAAACTCCTCGTTGTTTAAATAACGCATCGAGTAAAAGGTAGCGAACCCTTTGGATGGAGTTACCCGTTAGGTAACCAGCAAATTACATTATTGCTTAGGTAGGAGGCATTAAGAGCTCCTTGCATCCAGTATTATTCCATACGACCGGGTCGTATATTATTAGAATACCCTAAATAATTACTTTGGCTATGAATATACACTCTCGTCATCTGTTAATTGTCAGCTTCATCAGCAGTTATATGCACTCGCAATGGAAACACACATTTGTTTAGCAATATTAATAAGACTGAGTTGTTAATTACAAACCACGTAGATGACATTCGAAGAATCGTAATTGTGCAATTGTGTACGTAACCAGTGGTACAATAGGTTAACTCGTTACTGTCACTTTGACAGTTCGCAACTATAATAAAAACATACATACCTGAACGACCTCCTGTCCCACAGCTATCTCCGCAAATGGTTTGTTATTATTTTCATCGTCTCGCATAGAATTGTCCTTGTGTAGTTTCTTGTTTCTTTTCACAAAACCCACGTCAAACATTACTTCGCCATTCGATTTTTCAGGCAGCGTTCCTCACGATCAACCATCGATCAATCGATACTATCGTTACTGGACCCATCGTTAATTCGATAAATAGTTGACACGGGGGCGCCTCAGTTTAATGGCGTTCGACTCAATAGAAAGTGGTGTTGTCGAATTTATTGTCATACGAAAGCAATTAGATTAATGACATCTGTGGATGATTTCGAGCTCTTCGAGAAATTTAAAGTGTACCGTGATTACCGACCGAGGCAAGTGTCAGGGTGTCGCTCGAACGATAAAACCCAGTGGTCGCTCGTGCTGGAAGACAGCCCTTATGCACGTTTTATCGTGCAGACGCGCACTTTCGAGTTCTTTCGGCGCTCGTTCACGGTAGTCATGCCATCATGTGAATCGTTGGCAGGTTGCAGACAGAAGACAGATAATGAAAACGGCGCGAAACAGGTAGGAAACATCCGAAAATGTGCAAGATCTTCGAGACGTCTTTACTTCTGATTAATTAGCTTAGGACTCCATCATCGGCTAGACAAGACCACCATGCAGATAATGATCTTAACCTCCAATTCTTTGGATTGTCATCGATACGTTCCAATAGGAAGAGCCATATTTGTTCTTTCGTTGAATATTCATATATCAGGATAAATTTTTACATTCGTATAATACGGTGTTTATTCGAACATAATCGTCGTGTAAAAAGACAGTCGGGTCTACTTGAGTCAAGGTCGTCTCAATGATAATCGCACAAATAAATAAGTAAATAAATGCAAGCGTGCATATCTCGAAATAGAATGCGAGAAAAATAAGTGTATACGACAAGTAAAAATAGCATGGTATGCCATGGCTTATGAATTTACATGAAATCATTTTTTCGGATTATATGACCAAACGGCGGACAAGGCCGGTCGTTTATATCCGATCGCTTTTACCATGTGTCTTTACGCGGAAATACCGATAAGCAGAATGTCTAAATACATTCGTATTCGTAAATGTATGGACGAGTACGTATCGATACGTTCACTGTGTACGAGACAATGGCGTAGCTTGCATTTATTTCGCGGTGCATTTTATTTTCACGTAATTACGCTTTTTATGCAGTTCTTCAATTACGTGTAATTACTCCGTCACAATCGCGAGCAGTGATTGTTTAGTGCAGGAACAGAAAATAATTACACCCCTGTCCCATGGAAAGAACATTTCAATTTTGGGAAGTGTGCAGGTGTTACAGCATCGTATAATTTTGTTGTTTGCTGTATTATATAATCGATGGGACAGAAAATAAGTGAAATTAAACGTTAACGAATTCCGGGAGTCGCTTTCATAATTGCTGGCATAAATATTTCCTTGCCAAAGTGTTGCCGCGTATGCACGTGGCTGTAATTAACGTTTCGTACACGTAATTCGTACCGACGATACGATATCGAAATGATATTCTACGTGCACGCGTGAAAGACAAAGAGTGCACGCTATTTCGTTTACGTAAGCGTCCACTGATCTGTAGCACGTCACAGCAGTTCATATTTTCCACGGACCATGATATTTTTAAACGCGACTAGAATAATTGTGGCCAATGTACGTGTGATGAATCATTGTATCCTCTGCCGTGTGTATCTAGCGCAGTAACAGTGGAAAGGATTGGTATCCACCTTGTCGCATTCCACCGGGACGTGGAGACAGGCTGGAAGAAGCGAGCATTTGCGCACAGACAGTTATTTAAAGATTCTCACTGCATTCAAATTGTGTCACGTGATTGTTGGCTAGCTGCCGGTTCTTTACCGCGGGTACCTCAACGGCTACATGCAGAATACTGTACCATGGAGAAAAGGAGAAATCACGTGCCTACAGGTCTCTTCATGCGAGTAGAACCTACTTCGTTCGTCATTTCTTAGCATTTCGTCAATTTCCAGCGTGAAAGACTCGTTGAACTCTCCAGGCGACGTTGAGACGCGAGGCTCGCCATATTTGTTTCGTTTCACGCTGCAAACTTTACTTTGTATGCGCACTTGCATCTTTTGAAACACATTTGAAAACTGAACGACTTATTGTTAGCTACCTTTCGTTCTTCGACAGACAAGTCGCCTAAATATCTGTCTCTTGTTTACGGATGTGTAATAGTTCGTCTTTGAGTACGTACGATGAACGATCATGCTGATTAGAGGATCGACAGTTGCTGGCGCCTGCCTAGCCCGTTTGTTAACCCGTGACCTTTACGTCGCAATTAACAACGTGGCATTTTCCATTCGGTAAAGTTTCGTATGCATTTCCGGCCCTCGTCGAGATCGATCTAGGGGCAAATGTTAAAGTACTAGGTTGATGTAAAAGTAATTTCATTTTTCCGTGAGATTCCGGTCTACATTTTGATAACAGGTATCGTGTGTTTTCCATTAATGTATCCTTTATTCTAAGCGTGTGTGTTGGCACATCGACGGTTTGTTTTATCAGCTGGCAAAATTCATATCTCGGTGGGATAACGACGTGAGTTAAAGAAGGAGGGCTGGCGTAGAACATCGTATCACAGAGTAATTTTATGAGACTAAAAGTTTAACGTTTTTTTCAGATCCCGATTCCACGAGCAGCCTAGTTGCGAGGAATTCATCGATGACTCGTCAAATTTACCGATCTCGGTCCGCCTTCGATTCGAGGAGTCGCCTCGAGATGGTGCTACCGTCCACTGGAAATTCATACTTAGCAAGAGTTCTGTATTGACGATGCAAAGTAATGGTAGCTGGCACGGAAGGCAATAGAACGACTGTCGCACATGTAATAGACTTGGTAATATTTCTTTTCTCTATTTTACCGAATAGGTTCGATATTTGTATTCTCCTTAGTCCGTTTAGCCCACGAAACGTATCCGTAGAACTCTGTTCTCCTATCGTTACCAAACCGCAGCTGTAGAACTGTTTCCTTTAGTTGAACACGAGTCAAAGATGCATTTTCACGTCCCGGACAGACGTGCCCTAGATTCGAAATACACGCACATTGTGATAGCCCATCTATCGGCTATTATTTTGTTGAAACGCACACTTGTACTCTTTGTTCGAGTTCATTACGTGCCAGACGGCGTAGTTAATATCTTTAGGTAGAACTAGGAGCTCTTATATTTGCGGTAGACGTGTACAGTGAGTCAAGAAAGTATTCGCGCACCCTGTGGTTTCAAGATATTTATATTTAT